CCCCTCCCCAATCTTGAGGTCTTTCCCAAATCAGAGTCAGCAACCCTCCCTGCAACCTTCTGCACTGCAAAGCACATGCTCCCTCACCGAGTGGTAGGGTCTGCTTGAGGGTAAGATGGCATCTATGTGAGGACAAAATGGTGGCTGGAGAAAGAGCCTGTGCCAATAAGATCAGAGCAGGATCGAGGCCTGCCATCCCCCTTCCCATGGGGGTATTCCAGCTGTAAAAGTGATTGCATCCCAAGCATGCAGAAGACTTGGGGTCTGATCCTAAGCATAGGGTTGTACCTTTCTAAGCCCCATGGCCTTCAATGGATTTTGAAGGTTATAACTCAAGAAGCAAGGGTTTCAACCTTGCTTCTGCAGAAAGGAGGGAATGCCGTGAAAAGAGCAGGATGGCCACCTTTGAGAGCCAGTTTGGTGTAGTGGTTAAGTGCGCGGGCCCTAATCTGGGAGAACCGGGTTTGATTCCCCACTCCTCCACTTGCACCTGCTGATGTGACCTTGGGTCAGTCACAAGCTCTGGCACAGCTGTCCTTGAAAAAGAGCAGTTTGTGTCAGAGTTCTCTCAGCCCCACCCACCTCACAGGGTGTCTGTTGTGGGGAGGGGAAGGGAAAGGAGTTTGTAAGCTGCTCTGAGACTCCAAGTGAAGGGCGGGGTATAAATCCAATCTCTTCTTCTTCTTCTTTGGTTTCCTTTGGAGCAAGCAAGTGGCAAGGGTGTGCTGATATCCACACCTGCATGCCCCTTTCTGCAACCAGGAATTGTAGAGTCAACTTCTGCCCGGTTGAGATTCTCACGCTTTGCAGCGCTGGCAAAGACCTTTTTGTCCAGGATTTCCCCCCTCATTGCTCTCTGCCAGAAAAGCCTCCCAACCTGCAGTGTTTGTTATTTCAGTCTGGGCTGTTTTCCTACACTTCCTATTTCCCTGACATCCCGACAGCTCTCCTTTCTCTTAGGAAAGCAGTGAGTAGAGGCCACAGCCTGCCTCGGTGCCTCAATGCCCCCTCAGCAAGCTCTTGCCTTTCCTCCATGTTCTTTTGTTCAGGGCTTTTTTGGGGATCTAGCCAGGAAGCAGGTGATGTCACCCCAGCTTCTCATCTTGACCCCACAGTCCACCTGCCTGAACAGCTGCCACACTCTGAACAAGAACCAGCCCCGGTCTGTACCAAACCTCCCCCCTCCCAATCTCCACCTCTCTTCCCCCCTCCCATTTCCTCCAGCTCCTCCCCTCTGAACTCATCTAAAAGTTATTATGGTCATCTCTTCATAACATCGCTGGAGTTTCCTGGATCCCTGCAAAAGGTTTTTGTGCTGGCACAGATCTGGAACTCTCCTCCACTGCAATTTTTTCTGACAACTTCTGGAGCAGAACTGAATTTAGACCTTTAAAAGCAGGAGTTTGGACTTCCAATCTGAGAAACTGCTTGGCTGGTGAGTACTATAATTATCTGAAGTTGCAGAGGTCTTCCAGTCCCAGGAGTTCCATAGTTATGATTCCTAAGGTCAGATCCTTGAGGCATTACAAATGAAAAATCCTGGGGTTCAAAACTGTCTAGTATACCTTTGTACCCTGGCATTGACTTCCCCCTGCCCTTAATGGACTAAATGATTTACTCTATGGAGAAGAGAAAGGCACTTTGCACATGCTCAAAGGCACACCTGAGACCTATAAACAAGGCTCCATGCTTAGCCTTGCTGTAAAATACAAGCTCTAAGGCTAGTCATCTCTCCCAAAAGAAAGCCCTAACTAGGATCACATGCACTGAATTTGGGCCAAGTTGCCAGATCCTTCATCAGCACCTAGGGCTATGACTTTAACAACCACAGAGCAGCAGGTGAAAACACTCATCTCCATTATATGAAAAGCTTCACCAGCTGCTTTCTGAAGGTCAAAAGGCTGTCAAAAGCACCAAACCAGGCCAGGGGTTTCTTTTCTTGGTAATGCTAAGCTGAGCTCACTTGCACAGGCTTTCTTAGTTTGCTTTGGGAAAAAGGAGAAAGAGCTTTTTGCAAAATGTGTACTTTCATTTGTATGTCCAGGGTCTCTCTTGGCATAATTTCATTCCTGGCTGACCCTGCTTTCTCTTTGGTTTTTCTAGCTCTAGCAGGTACCTCTCTTTCCTATTGTGTGAGTTTAAAAGCTAGCACTTTAAGAGCCAAACCTGGCAGGTATCCTTTGTTGATTGGCTTCCTGTCCTTTATAACATTAGGAGCAGAGAAAAAAAGTCCAGTCTTCTAAGTTATGGGGAAGGGTTATAGTGGAAGAACTTTTAAGGTGAGAAAAGGAGGACAGGGAATCTAAACGGGGCTGCAGGAAGCTGTGATTACTCTGGTTGGGCCTATACTTTCCCATTCTCCTTACTGCAGCTTTTCAAAAGTTTTTTTTTTAAGTCTTAACCTAAAAAAAATCTATGTTAGCTCATCCATCCAAAGATTCTCTTCTAGTTCATTCATCCACTTAACTCTGTGTTTAAAAAGGAAACAACAAGAATGTATATCTGGACAATGCAGAATTTATAAAGAACATATAAAGAAACTTAGTAGAGATCCAACACTTGAATTAGGTATATGATAAAGAAACAAAGGGTGAATTTGAACACAGTGATGGATCTTTGATCATTTCTTATTGCTTATAGATACATAATGTTCTACAAAGGTGTCCTTGAGAGGTTAGGAGAATATTTGAAGCCTAGTTTACAGCATCCCAAGCTTTATACTTGCTAGAGGATAACAAATGCCCTTCAAGATTCTGAAATATTTTGCAATTTTATTTTTTATTTCTCTTGGTTAATGAAGTAAGGCAACTGTGACTCAGACCAGCCAGGGAGTCTATTGCACTGGCATTTAAACCAAAATTCCTTTCTTTAAATCACACCTGTATAATCTATTTTTTATTTTATTTGCTTCATTTATACTTTACCTTTCTCCCTAATTGAACCCTAAAGAGGCTTACATTTTTTCTCCTGTCCTCCATTTTACCCTCAAAACAGCCCTGTGAGGTAGGTTAGGCTGTGTGTGACTGGCCCAAAGTCACCCACTGAGCTTCCATGGCAGAGTGGGGATTAGAACCTGGGTCTCTCAGATCGTAGTCTGATGGTCTAAGCGCTACACCACTTTGGCTGTGCTCTCCGTTTTGCTCTGTCTCCTGCTTTCCATTGGCCTGTTCTCCTAACAAGGGCATTGTTTGAATATTTTAACTGCTGCCAACCTAGCATTTAGTGTTTTCTAACGTGTAAAGGAGTTCCTGTCAATCTTGGCTGCTATTATTTCATAGGAGGACTAGTAGAAGCCCTAACCTTTCTGACCAACTCCTGAAAGCTTCATATTGATTGGATGCACTCCTGACTATTAAGTCTGTGGAAAAGGCAAAGTTCAGTGGCCTGGCATGCACCTTATTTAGAAGGAAGTCTGAACTCCTCTTCTTATGTTCTTCTATATGACTAGGAATAAGGCCCATTGTGGAAATAAATACAACAAGCTCTAGAAAGAGGCTCTGGGTGCATGCCCTGGCCTTGGGCACTCAGCGTCAATTTGTTGTGATGACCTCAGCAGCATATAATGACACAAAGTCCACCGTTTTCTCCAGGGGAACTGATCTATACCATCTGAAGAGCAGTTGTAATTCTGAGGGATCTCCAGCCCTCCCCTGGAGATTGGCAGCAGTGGTTCCCCAGGAGGAAATAGCTGCTTTGGAGGGTGGAGCCTATGGCATTGTACCTGCCCGAGGTCCCACCCCTCCTCAAACCTCACCCTCCCCAGGCTCCATTCCTCAAATCTTCAGGAATTTCCCAACCTGGAGCTGGCAACCCTTTCTCCTTCCCAGCCAATCATCAACCTGCCTTAATTTGCCCTTCTGACTTCAGCTTTCCATCTACTCCCCACCTGCAGCATCTACCCTGCTCTGAAGCCCTGACTGCTATGTCATACTGGCTGTCATAGGGAGCCATCTCAGCAGGATATAAGAACACAGAGTCCACCATTTTCTCCAGGGGTACTGATCTCTGCCATCTGAAGAGCAGTTGTAATTCTGAATGATCTCCAGCCCTCACCTGGAGATTGGCAACAATGATTCCCCAGGAGGAAATGGCTGCTTTGGAGGGTGGAGCCTATGGCATTGTACCTATCTGAGGTCACACCCCTCCTCAAACCTCACCCCCTCCAGGCTCCACCCCTCAAATCTCCAGGAATTTCCCAACCTGGAGCTGGCAACCCTGTCTCCTTTCCAGGCAATCATCAACCTACCTTTATCTGCCCCTCTGACTTCAGCTTTCCATCTCAGCAGGGTATAAGGACACAGAGTCCATTATTTTATCCAAGGGAACTGATCTCTGCCATCTGGAAAGCAGTTGGAATTCTGAGTGATCTCCAGCCCTCACCTGGAGACTGGCAACAATGGTTCCACAGGAGGAAAAGTACAGTCTTTCTCTTCAGTGGGGGCCAAAACAGCTTACATCTTTCTCCTCTCCCCCTTTTAATCTGCACAACAACCCTGTGAGGTACGTTAGGCTGAAAGTCTGTGTCTGGTCTGAATAGGGTTGCCAGGTCTGGGTCGGAAAATACCTGGAGACTTTGGGGGTGGAGCCAGGAGAGGGTGGGATTTGGGGATTTGGGGAGGGGAGGGGCCTCAGGGGCCTCAGCATGGTACAGTGCCATACAGTCCACCCTTCAGAGCAGCCATTTTCTCCAGGGGAGCTGATCTCTGTCAGCTGGAGATCCGCTGTAAAAGCGGGAGATCTCCAGGCCCCACCTGGAGGCTGGCAGCCCTAGGTCTGAAATCACCCACTCAGCTGGAAAAAGGCAACGCATTAGGAGAATTATATATATATAAGATGCTCTGCGCTTTCAGCAGACTGTGCCTCAGCACTTTTAAACTTTGTAACAGTGAGGCCTAGCTTCTTTTTATGTAGGGCTAACTGCTGCCCTACAATCCCAATTCTGCATGGTCTGCATGTGTGCATCATTAATAGTAGTTTGAAAAGCTTCCGCCTTACAAGTCAGTGACAAATAGTATTGCCAACTCCAAGGTGGGAAATTCTTTGGGGATTTAGGGGTGAAGCCTGGGGATGGTGGGATGGGGGGATGGGACCTCATCAGGGTACAATGCCATAAAGTCCACCCTCCGAAGCAGCCATTTTCCCTGGGGGAATTGATCTCTCTAGTCTGGGGATCAGTTGTAATTCTGGGAGATTTCCAGGGCCCACCTTGAAGGTTGGGAACCCTAGGAAAAAGCTCACTAGGCAATGTCATAGAATCATAGAGTTGGAAGGGGCCATACAGACCATCTAGTCCAACCCCCTCCCCAATGCAGGACTAGGAAGTTTCTCATTAATTATTTGGAGGTCTGAAAAGTACTTTCCTTCTATCCCCAAAACTATTAAAATTAGGAGATGGAAAACATAAGCACCCAACCACAACAGCCATGGCCATGCTTGTTTAAGAGAACTTGGTGTACACTAGGTGTAGGACATATCCTAATGGGAGGTATTTAAAATATGCTGGGCAAACCATGTCACAAGTGGGGGCCGTCTCTCCATCATCTAAGCTGTGCAATATCATTGGATCCTACCGATCCAAGATATGATCTGGCATTTCTGACCCATGAGGATTATACTGCAACAAACTAAATTAGGGGATAATTGTAGCTTAATAGGTCGGTGAGGTTTTGAAAGCTTGTACCTCTTTGTAACCTCATCTTAGAAAAAAAAATCCTGTATAATACAAATACTTCTGTGTCTTTTTTCTCTATGCATCTCCAGGTAGGTGCAGTGGTTTTAGACTATCATGCTTGGATCTGGAAGGCCTGGGTTCAAATCCTCATTCTTCCATGAAGCTCACTGTGTAACTTTGGACAGTCACTCTCTTTCAGCCTTGCCCACCTCACAGGGTTGTTGTGATGGTAAAACGGAGAAGGCAAAACCATGCACGCTACCCCGAATTGCTTGAATGAAAGGAAGGGAGAAAAGTGTACTACAAAGTATTGGGCATACCAGTACAAAATTTTATTTAACCCAGCACAAGAAGAGAAATCTTGGCAGCCCAGGACTGTTTGTAGTCGGACAGCTGGCTCCACACAATGTAACACAAGCATGGACTTAACACTCATGTCTAGGGTTTGTAACCTCCAGGTGGAGTCTGAAGATCTCCTGGAAATTTGGGGGTGGAGCCTGTGGAGAGAAGGAAGGTCAGCAAGATATAATAAGTAGCCCGTTTTCTCCAGGGGGGCTGATCTCTATCATCTGGAGATCAGTTGCAATTTTGGGAGGTCCTACCTGGAGCTGCGGTGGCTCAAGTGGTTAAGACGCTGAACTGCAGGCGGTGGAAGGTCAGTAGTTCAGCAGTTCAAGACCCAGGTGCCGCATGATGGAGTGAGCTCCCGTCTCTAGTTCCAGCTCCTGCCAACCTAGCAGTTCGAAAGCAAGAAATTGCAAGTAGATAAATAGGTACCACTTTGGTGGGAAGGTAACAGCGTTCCGTCCACCTTGGTGTTTAGTCATGCCGGCCACATGACCGCGGAAACGTCTTCGGACAGCGCTGGCTCTTTGGCTTTGAAACAGAGATGAGCACCGCAACCCTAGAGTCGGATTCGACTGGCTTTCAAGCAAGGGAACCTTTACCTTTACCACCTGGAGGTAGGCAACAATGCTATTTGTATCACTGGCCCCATGTGTCCACTCCCTGCCCTGCCCTTCCATTTAAGTTCGTGGGCCTCTGTCAAGCATTAAGCACAGAATGGTGCTACAAATAGAATATTCACAAATCTACATAGCCCTTTGCATACCCCTCAGTATATATGTGCAGTGTGTTTTTAAGCTGCAAAGGCACATGGGCCCCCCTCTTCTGGCATTCAGACCATGGGAGACATCTTCCAGAACTCTAAAGCAATAAAAGCACCAAAGTTCTTTGGGGCCACCAGAAGAAAGGAGGGGTTGAGGGTAGCCACTGGACTCTCTTTTCTTGGGAGATGGTCATGATGGTTTTGGAAATGGCTAGGGAGGCAAAAAGAATGGCCATCTTAGCATGTTTCTAAACTCGGGTGCCTGAGAAGAGGCATGAAATGTTGCTCATTCCTGCTCATTAAGCTGTGTGGG